TATTTAAGCGACTAATCATTTTTGCCATTTTAATCCTGACGATGGACGCTTAGTCCGAAAGCTTGATTTATATTTTACGTTTTTTAAACTGTAAATAAAGATTTTTACCAGTGCAACATACTACCACTACAATGAAACTTCCTGGTAACATAACCACACTAAACCAAATTATTTGTCGGATTTACTGCCTCAAACAGTACAACAAAGGTCGGGTCTATCCTTAAAAAATGCTTCTGACTTTTCTCCTTTTGGTGTGAGAACTGAAAGATTTAAAAAATCGTTTTTTCCTTCAACTACAATATTATGGAATAGCATTGATATTATTGATCGAAATTTTCAAAGTCGATTGGTTTTTTTAAGAGCTCGATCATTAACTTCGTTTTTGACATTCAAACTTACAGTATACTGGCTACTATGATTTTTCTATTGATAGGTATTCTTCTATCTTACACACTCGTTTGCGCCTTAATTGTAATGCTTTAAATTATTATTTGTTTAAAATTAATTGTAGATTATCTCCAGCATGTTCATGTGGAGATTCTTGTGAATCAGTCATTCATTATTTGTTATATTGTCCTCGTTATGCTGCTCTTAGATTATCCTTACTCTCGGTAGCTGCTCATATTTATGGTGAAAGCTGGTATCTCTTGTCCGATTCTCAAAAGTCTAAAATATTTTTGTCTGGTTCAACTGATTTGAGTATAGAAAGTAATAGATGTATATTTATGCATGTTCAAAATATATTAAGCAAACTAATCGTTTTTCTAAGAATTAATTTATTACTAGGAACCTTCAATTGAACCAGCTTTTATCACTTTTGTTGTTTTTTTTCCCTCTTTGTAATTCTCTCCTGTTGTGTATATTATTTAATTATTTGTTAATATGTAGTGTGAGCCCCTCGATGAGCGTCCACGCTTTGGGTAAACATTAAAGTTATTAATATGTTTATAAAAAAAAAGAGCTTGCCTGACTGTGTATTGATTTATTTCATTTTAAAAACGTACACAAATAGCAACGAACAAAATGTAACTTGTAACTTTGGCAAAATAACTTGTAATCGTTTCAATTTTATGGCATTTTTTGTAACTTAAGTTACAGTTACATGTTCTCAAAATGTAACAAGTTACTGTTACCATTACTGAAAAATGTAACAATTACTTGTAACTAGTTAATTTTAACAAAGTTACTTACAGCACTGTTAATAATTCATAAACCTTGTGGTATCATGTCAGCCATATTATGTCACATGGAATGACTTTATATCTGATAAAACACATGCATTTTTTTAATTAATATTTAATTTCAGGAAGCTTTCTCACAAAGTGATTCTCAGAAAGGTCCTGAACTAAATAAACTATTTTATTTTTTTTGCATGCATGTGGCATATTATATAATTGCTCATCCTAATTAGTATTCTTATATAATTGTTTGTCCTAATTGGTATTCTTTTGTAGTCGTATTTTAAGCTATTTAAAACATGAGTAGGAGTGTTTATCAGACATAAAACGCTAGCTCGGCTGCGCCTTGCGTTTTATATCTGATAAAACACTCCTACTTGTGTTTTAAATTAGTACATAATGTGAAATTTTTTAATGGCAATTTTAAGGAAATTTTGAGTAATTCTAAAGGGAAAACGATAATTTCGAACATGTTTCGAACGACGTGTACTCGGTGTAAAATCTCACTGAAGTGGAAATCCTAAATGATTGCAGTAGAAAGTTCTTTGAATTGCCATTCAGTAGTAAAATAAAGGTTATGGTTTTGCCATATAGTTGGTAAATTTAACACGGTATAGCGCAAATTCCGGTATATTATTTGGAAATTTTGGTATATCGGTATGGTTGAATATCCGGTATTGATATACCGATATTGGTTTAATACCGATATTTTTGGTATATCGGCATACCGAACAGTCCTAGCTAGTAATTCTAGCTATAAAATTGCCATGTGGATAATTTTCATTTCATTTGCAGTTTGCCAGTATTGCTCAATCTGCAAGGAAGGACGGTGAAAATCACAAGACAAGGTTGTTGAAGAAGCTTAGCATATTGGAAAGGTTAGTTTGTTCATTTTTGTGTTGAGGTTTATGTCTGCACTATACAGGGTGTGTCAAAAAAAACTGAACAGATTTAAAATTGCTCTCAATTTCGCAAAACACCTATTTGTATCTGGCTTTTTATATATATAGCTTCTTTGGGTACTTATAATGTAAAATAATGAAAAAAATTTCTCGAACTCAAATTTTGTGAACCAGGGGGGTGTGTCTTTTCCGACGAACTAAAAATGGCTCGCGCACAAAATTTAAAAGCTGCAATCATATTTTGAGTTAACAGATGAAAAATTTGTCGGGATTTTAATTACGGTACAAAATTTCAGACAATTTGGTTTAGTTTAAGCCCCTTAACTATTCACACAAATTTACAATTTTCCTGAAAAATCAGCTATTATTGCATTTGCCTAATTTGCATATGTCAGCAATATGCAAATTAGGTAAAGGCATTAATTAAGCATGCGAAAGGCTGACTTTTTAGAGCAAAATGAATAGTTAAAGGGCTTAAACTAAACCAAATTGTCTGAAATTTTGTACAGTAATTAAAAACCTGACAAATTTTCAATCTATCAACTCAAAATATTATTACAGCTTTTAAACTTTATGCGCGAGCCATTTTTAGTTTGTTTGAAAAGACACCCCCCCCCCTGGTTCACAAAATTTGAGTTAGAGAAATTTTTTTCATTATATTACATTATAAGTACCCAAAGAAGCTATATATATAAAAAAACAGATACAAATAGGTGTTTTGCGAAATTGAGAGCAATTTCAAATCTGTTCAGTTTTTTTTGATACACCCTGTAGATCAGAAAAAATACTCCAACAAGTCTCTATTTGCCAGAATAATTTCCCTAGCTTACAATACAGGGTGTATAAAAAAAAACTGCACATATTTGAAATTTGCTCTTAAATTTGCAAAACAGCTATTAGTATCCAGTGTTTGATGTATATAGCTTCTTTGGGTATGTATAATGTAGAAAAATGGAAAAAATTTCTCGAATGCAAATTTTGTGAACCGGGGGGAGGGGGTGTCTTTTCCAACAAACTAAAAATGGCTTGCGCATAAAATTTAAAAGCTTTAATCATATTTTAAGTTAATTTTTAATAGATGGAAATTTTTTGGGTGTTTAATTACTGTACAAAATTTCAGACAATTTGCTTCAGTTTACGCCCTTTAACCATTCACGCAAACTTACATTTTTTCTCAAAAAATCACCATTTGCATGCTAATTATGCCTTTATGCCTTTGGCTAATTTGCATATGTCAGCAATATGCAAATTAGGTAAAGGCATTCAGGGGCGTAGGAAGCACGGGGGGCACGTGCCCCCCCAAATTTTTTTAAAGGACTAAAAGTGCCCTTTTTTGTGATAAAAAGTGCCCTTTTTGTGTTGAAAAGTGCCCTTTTTTGTGAGGAAAAGTGCCCCTTTTGTAGAAGCTAATGTCGCTGTAAATACTAAATTAAAACAATAGGTGCCGTTTTTGTGTGGAAATTTACAAATTTTTTTTAAAAATTAGGTCACAAACATAAATTTCGGTATGATACGACGGAAAATTTTCCTCAGGAGAAATTTCTCCCCCCCCCCCTACAAGCCGGTGCCCCCCCAAACTCCAGGTGCTTCCTACGCCCCTGAAGGCATTACTGTCGTTCCAATTGAAGTGTTCCTCAAATATTGATTCAATACATTACCTCGGGCTGACCAATTCATTTCATCAAGTTCCTCGAAATATTCATACACTTCCTGTGAAAGAGCCAATTCCAAGAATTTGATCATTTTTGGTCACTTCCTTTCTATTTATGATTGGTTAGTTGCACAAACAACAAAGGTGATTGGTGCATTCAAACTATTCAACAGGAAGTTTACAATTATACTAGGGAGTGTATGAATATTTCGAGGAACTTGATCATGCAAATGAATTGGTCAGCCCGAGGTAATGTATTGATCAGAATCAATATTTGAGGAACACTTCAATTGGAACGACAGTAATTAAGCATGCGAAAGGCTAATTTTTTAGAGAAAAATGAATAGTTAAAGGGCTTAAACTAAAGCAAATTGTCTGTCAAAATATGATTAAAGCTTTTAAATTTTGTGTGCAAGCAATTTTGTGTTTTAGTTTGTTGGAAAAGGCACCTGGTTTACAAAATTTGAGTTCGAGAAATTTTTTCCATTTTTCTACATTATAAGTACCCAAAGAAGCTATATACATAAAAAACTGGATACTAATAGCTGTTTTGCAAATTTAAGAGCAATTTCAAATCTGTTCAGTTTTTTTTATACACCCTGTATTATAAGCTAGAGTATGGCAAGTACAGTATTTAGTGTTTAGGTAATTCTATTGAATATAAAAACTTTCTCTCCTGTGTTGTAATTGGGGTGAGGTAGACGCACCTGTTGTAATGAACATTAATACTCAACAGATTGTGATTTATTTTCAGCTACCGCAGTGCCTGTGTTTCCACATCAACCGTACATATTGGCAGAATAATGGAGTGCCTTACAAAAATAACACCTTTGTGACATTCTCAGAAAGTCTCAATACCGAGCCATATCTCTACACTAACAACAAGGTCGATCATAAAATTCCAAGAATGTCTGGGCTATGTTCCAGTCAAGATATGTCCACAGAAGAACAGAGGACAACTTCTCATAGCAGGTTAGTGTTTCAATAGTCTTTATTTATCGGATGAAATCACAGACAGTAGTTTTGGATAATATGTCTTTACTAAACTTAATACAACTGATGTTTGATACGTAATCAGCTAATTATTGTAAAATTATTAAAATGTTTGTAAATATCAAAATGTTTGTAAAAATTAGTTCGTGCTATTGTTTAGGGGTGCACCGGATTTGGAATTTTCAAATCCGGCTGGAACCGGATTTACCGGATTTGGACAAAAATTCTGGCCGGATTTGCCGGATTTGAGATAAACGGATAATGGGGGACAATTAGGGATAAATCAGTATTCAAAATGACGGTTTATGTTTTTTTACTATTTTTAGTTAGTGTCAGTTTAGATTTTTGATTGTGTTTAAACCTTTTTTAAACATATTTTTGTTAATAAATTAATATTTTATAATAATATAAGTGTTTTTTAAACTTTAAAGCTGCCAAATTGATGGCTTATCCCATTCTTGGTGAATTTTTTAACGTGAAAACAGAAATTTAAATCCGGTCGGATTTTCTCCAAATCCGGCCGGATGCCGGAAAATTCGTTAAATCCGGCCGGAATTCCGGCTGGATTTGAAATCCGGTGCACCTTTACTATTGTTTATGAATCAGAAAATAATCATATAGTTAAATCATCTGTTGAATCAATAATCATCTATTACCTCTTAATGTTTAAATAGTGAAATCTTGAAATCTAATTATGTTTGAAATCTTGAAATCTAATTATGTTTGTAATCCTTAAGGAGTCTATTTTCGGATATAATCCTTCAGGTATACAGGAGGTCTTCGTGTTCGTTGTGATCATGCTGGTGGCGCTGTAGGAGTGGGGATTTCTGGAATAGGTGCTGCATCGTTCATTGAGGTAGTAGCTAGTTGGGGCTTCGTGGCATAACTTTTAGTTCAGGAGTATCTCCGTTCTCCTTGCTTTTCTTTAGATGGAATCTGTTTCTTCTGTATGTCTCTCCGTTTCCCGTTTCAACTACATAAGATCGTTCGTCAAGTCTTGATGCAACTGTTGCTTTTTTGCACACCTTGGATCCTAACTGGAAGGGTTTCATTCGTACAACATCACCTTTATCAAGTGGGGCTAGAGCACGAGTGTGGGGGTTGTAATAATACTTAGACTGTTGCTGTTGTCGCTTGCTCAAGTCTTTGATATCTTGGTCTGGGTGGGTTGTTCGCGGCTCCAAAAGGGCTTTGGTTGTTGGCAGTTGGCAGTAGAGTTCGCGTTCGCCTATTCATCAGCCGCCGGGATAGTGGATAGCGAGCTTGAGCCATTGAACTATAAATAAACTGGAAGGCTAACTGCTATGATGAAGGCCTATGATTTGATGAAGCCAAAATAGTTTTTCTGAGTTATGAGCATAAATACTTGACCCCAAACGTCGGGCTATATATCAAATTGAAGCTATTGAAAATTGCTATTCGGTGTGGAAATTTCAAGACTTCAGCGAAAAGAAAAATATTTTAAAAATACAAAAACAACTGCAAAACGGCAAATTATCGGTAATTATGTTTGTTGTTTTTCAATATTTCCCTTTTAGCTAAAGTCGTGAAATTTCTACACCAAATAGCGTTTTTCAATAGCTTCAATTTGATATATAGCCCAACGTTCAGTGTTGAGTATTTCTGCTCATAACTCAGAAAAACTAAAATGCACTGGCTTCAATCCCCCCCCCCCTGAGTTAGCCTTCCAGTTTATTTATAGTTCAATGGCTTGAGCTGGTATAAACTCAGTACTCAATGTATACTTAGTCTTTAAAATAAGGTTCATAAAGTACAGGTTTCTGAAAAGTATGTTCAGACTAAGAGGTAGAAAAAAGAGCACAATTGCAATATACAAACAATCGACTCCAACGTTTCTTAGTGCCATCAGTGCAATCATGTTTCATGCCAAGGCATCTCAGACACATGATATACCAACTAAATTACGGTACTGAATACCTTGGACTTTAGAAAGGTCATGTGGTACCAACAAAAAGTAAGTGCGCGGATAGCAAGAGTTCCGCGTACCTACGTGGTACGTGACTGAAAACAAAGTGTACAATGTGAAAAGGGACATTGCACTTCCCTACTGCTTTAGAAACCAGTAATTCATCGGTTTGAAAATTGGTAGATATTTTAACAATAATTGCACACCAACAAATCGTAAGATTTTCACGGTTCCCAAATATCCCCTCGAACCTACCTAAGTTGGGGGAACAGGGACACTAACCCACATGCCTACAACACTCACAAAGTGTACAATGTGAAAAGGGACATTGCACTTCGCTACTGCTTTAGAGACCAGTAATTCATCTGTGTGAAAAGTGGCAGTAATTCTAACAATAATTACACACCAACAAATCGTACGATTTTCACTGTTCCCAAATATCTCCTCCAGCTTATCTAAGTTGGGGGAACAGGGACACTAACCCACATGCCTACAACATTCACAAAGTGTACAATGTGAAAAGGGACATTGCACTTCCCTACTGCTTTAGAAACCAGTAATTCATCTCTGTGAAAAGTGGCAGTAATTTGAAATATAATTACATACCAACAAATCGTAAGATTTTCACGGTTCCCAAATATCCCCTCCAGGCTGCCTAATTTGGGGAAACAGGGACACTAACCCACATGCCTACAACATTCACAAAGTGTACGATGTGAAAAGGGACATTGCACTTCCCTACTGCTGTAGAAACCAGTAATTCATCTGTGTGAAATGTGGCAGTAATTCTAACAATAATTACACACAAACAAAACGTCAGATTTTTACGGTTCCCATGCAAATATCTCCTCCAGCTTACCTAAGTTGGGGGAACAGGGACACTAACCCACATGCCTACAACATTCACAAAGTGTACAATGTGAAAAGGGACATTGCAATTCCCTACTGCTTTAAAAACCAGTAATTCTTATTCATCTGTGTGGAAAATTGCAGTAATTTCAACAATTACACACCAACAAATCATAAGATTTTCACGGTTCCCAAATATCCCCTCCAGGCCGGGTTTATTTTAAGAAAAATTTAGAATTGTACACATAGGGATGTTACGAAGGCAACGGGTATTTGAATGGAGGGGGGCGGGGTCGAAGGATTTTTTACCTGCATATAGGTGTGAGAATAATGGTGTGGTTGGGTGGGAGAATTGGAGAAAGGCCAGACAAACTCGATTTTGGGTGCAGGAGCTACGGGTGTTCCCCAAAACAATTTGAATCTAGAGGCTGTTAAGTTCTGGCAAAGATTTTTTTTACCGAACCACTCACAAAAACTGTTTCAAAACATGTAACTGGGAATCATATATTCAATATATAACAACCTTAAATTTACATTTGAGGCAGCAAATAATATTAGGTTCTCCCACTATAATCTCTTTTGGGAAGCTTCGCTCGCCCCAATTTTACCTTCTTTTCCATTACCTCAACACGTAAGTGATTTGTGAGGAAAATAGGAGGGTCTGGAGTCCTCCCCCAGAAATCGTTTATATTTTTTATGCTTAATTAATGACAGCATTTCTGGAATTTTCTGGAGCATCCATAAGGGTAACGAGTAAATGAGAAGACTGTTTTAATTAAGGCTATTTTTGTTAGTTTGGTGACTGCACATTTGTGTTTTAAGAACTCCACAAATGGGTTTAGAACTGCACATTTTGTGTAGAACTGCACGTTAAAATAAACCCTGCCTCCAACCTGCCTAAGTTGGGGAACAGGGACACTAACCCACATGCCTACAACATTCACAAAGTGTACAATGTGAAAAGAGACATTGCACTTCGCTACTGCTTTAAAAAACAGTAATTCATCTGTGTGAAAAGTTGCAGTAATTTCAACAATAATTACACACCAACAAATCGTAAGATTTTCACGGTTCCCAAATATCCCCTCCAGGCTGGCTAAGTTGGGGGAAATTTGACACTAACCCTGACACTATGTATTGTGTTTGAATCATATATATTTCAAGAATAAGAATTCCATTTCATTCATTTCACCTTGAGAAGTCAAAATCATTGGGCATTATATAGAGTAAAATCATCAGGCAGTATATATTAGACTGTATAGACAGAGAAAAATCCTTGTAAAGCGTCGGCCTTACGCTGCCACCATGCATGTTTCAATAGTCCTTATTTATCTGATGAAATCGCAGACAGTAGTTTTGGATATGTCTTTACCAAACTTAATACAAGTGATATTTGATACGTAATCAGCTAATTATTGTAACAGTCAGTTCAGTCAAACTGGGGCGTGGCACTTTGCTCCAGTAGCCTGGGGCGCTTTGCTCCAGGAGGTGGGGGCGCTTTGCTCCAGGAGGTGGGGGCACTTTGCTCCAGGAGGTGGGGGCACTTTGCTCCAGGAGCTGGGGGCACTTTGCTCCAGGAGGTGGGGGCACTTTGCTCCTGGAGGTGGGGGCACTTTGCTCCAGGAGGTGGGGGCACTTTGCTCCAGGAGGTGGGGACACTTTGCTCCAGGAGGTGTGGGCACTTTGCTCCAGGAGGCGGAGGCACTATGCCAAAAGAAGCGAGAGGGGGGCTCCTTGCCACAAGAGGGGGAGTGGGCGTGGCTCTTTGCCTCAGGCAACCTCTTGGTGGCCCTGATTTGGAGACTATGTTATATTCAATTGGCCTCTAAGCCAGGCAGGAGAGACGAATGGTTTGTACTCTGTGTGTTTGTAATAGCAAATTTTATCCTATAATAGTTTTGTTTGTGGAAACACCACGTAAATTTATTACTGCAGTAATAAATTTACGTGGTGTTTCCACAAACAAAACTATTATATGTTTTATCGCCATGCAAACATACAAAGAACTTAAATTTCATCCTGTTTATCAGCATGATTCGGTTGATAACTTGGTTAGGAAATAAACTACGATTTTGTTTTTATATCTCTAGGCCGACAATGAATACAACTTACACTCTAGTGGCTGTCATCGTCCATGTTGGCGAGGTTGAGAATGGACATTATGTTACTTTCAGAAAAGCGAACGAGAACTGGCACCTAGTGTCAGATGAGATGACAAGAACTGTCCCGCTATCACACGTGCTAAAGTCCAATCCGTACATGTTATTTTACCAAAGAACTTTGTTAAAGTGAGACATATATTGTTATGTTAACAGGAGAAGCTGATCAACTATATTCTGTAGGTAAGATTATATATTTGGATACTTATATAGTATAAAATATTCTATTTATTACCACCAAATATAGATTGCCTCTCCAATAATAACATTTCTATTTAAGGCGTTTGTATATTTTTTGGTGATATTCACAAATTCCAAAAAAAAACACATTCACAAGCACAGATTTTTTGCAACCCAGTAAAGCTGAACGTCATCCTCCCTTCACAAGTAAATTCGTCTGGCATGACGTAAAATATTCAAATAAAGAGCACGGTTCTTAACTTTTCATTGAAAAAGACTCCTTCCCCTTTAATTTAACTGCATGTGAGAAACATTAGCAATTCATCTTTGGCCGCCATTTGTTCTCACCCTTCTTATTTTGGATAGTGGCCAAAATTCTCCAAAAACCAAGGCGGTTATAGTCGTTGCTTTGTCTGGACAAAACATTACGGGATTACCTTTAAATGTTTATCCAATTGTTGTCACTCCTTGAAAAAAGAACTAAGAAGCTTTACAATGCGCAAAAAGTAAAGGCTAACCTCTTAATATTGTTTTAGCCAACCCCCTTTGAAAAATTGCCAGAAATGGCCACAAAATTAAGCGGCAAACCCTATCTTTTTTTCTATTTTACCCCCATTTTAACCGCTTTTTATTGCTTAAAGCTTAAAAAAGTGGCGATAATTCGACGAAAAGTTAAGGCTAAACCCTTTGCATTTCCACCGTTTTTGGGCACTTTTTCCATTTTTGAAAAAGGAACAAAATAGTAAGGCTATAGCCTTAACTTTTCCTCCATTTTAGCCACTTTTTTCGATTTTTAAAAAAGTGACGAAAATAGGCATAAAAGTAAGACTACAGCCTTAACTTTTCATCCATTTTCATCCACAATTTCGATTTTTGAAAATGGGGCGAAAATTGGCAAAAAAGTAAGACTACAGCCTTAACTTTTCGTCCATTTTCAGCCATTCTTCGATTTTTCAAAAACGGGCGAAAATTGGCAAAAAAAGTAAGGCTATAGCCTTAACTTTTCGTCCATTTTTAGCGACTTTTGCCATTTTTCATAAATGGGCAACAAAGAGCAAAAAAGTAAGGCTATACCCTTTACTTTTCGTCCATTTTTAGCAACTTTTTCCATTTTTCATAAAAGCAAAAAAAAACAGCAAAAAAGTAAAGCTGTAGTCTTAACTTTTCGTCCATTTTTAGCGACTTTTTCCATTTTTCATAAATGGGCAAAAAAGAGCAAAAAAGTAAGGCTATATATAGCCTTAACTTTTCGTCCATTTTTAGCAACTTTTGCCATTTTTCATAAATGGGCAAAAAAGAGCAAAAAAGTAAGGCTATATATAGCCTTTACTTTTCGTCCATTTTTAGCGACTTTTGCCATTTTTCATAAATGGGCAAAAAAGAGCAAAAAAGTAAGGCTATATATAGCCTTAACTTTTCGTCCATTTTTAGCGACTTTTGCCATTTTTCATAAATGGGCAACAAAGAGCAAAAAAGTAAGGCTATACCCTTTACTTTTCGTCCATTTTTAGCAACTTTTTCCATTTTTCATAAAAGCAAAAAAAAACAGCAAAAAAGTAAAGCTGTAGTCTTAACTTTTCGTCCATTTTTAGCGACTTTTTCCATTTTTCATAAATGGGCAAAAAAGAGCAAAAAAGTAAGGCTATATATAGCCTTAACTTTTCGTCCATTTTTAGCAACTTTTGCCATTTTTCATAAATGGGCAAAAAAGAGCAAAAAAGTAAGGCTATATATAGCCTTTACTTTTCGTCCATTTTTAGCGACTTTTGCCATTTTTCATAAATGGGCAAAAAAGAGCAAAAAAGTAAGGCTATATATAGCCTTAACTTTTCGTCCATTTTTAGCGACTTTTGCCATTTTTCATAAATGGGCAACAAAGAGCAAAAAAGTAAGGCTATACCCTTTACTTTTCGTCCATTTTTAGCAACTTTTTCCATTTTTCATAAAAGCAAAAAAAAAACAGCAGAAAAGTAAGCCTGTACCCTTTACTTTTCGTCCATTTTTAGCAACTTTTTCCATTTTTCATAACTGGGACAAAAAGAGCAAAAAACTAAGCCTATACCCTTTACTTTTCGTCCATTTTTAGCAACTTTTTCCATTTTTCATAAAAGCAAAAAAAACCCAGCAAAAAAGTAAGCCCATACTCTTTACTTTTCGTCCATTTTTAGCAACTTTTTCCATTTTTCATAAAAGCAAAAAAAACCAGCAGAAAAGTAAGCCTATACCCTTTACTTTTCGTCCATTTTTAGCAACTTTTCCCCTTTTTCATAAATAGCCAAAAAACAGCAAAAAATAAGGCTATAGCCTTTACTTTTCGTCCATTTTTAGCGACTTTTGCCATTTTTCATAAATGGGCAAAAAAGAGCAAAAAAGTAAGGCTATATATAGCCTTAACTTTTCGTCCATTTTTAGCGACTTTTGCCATTCCTCATAAATGGGAAAAAAAACAGCAAAAAAGTAAGGCTATAGCCTTAACTTTTCGTCCATTTTTAGCGACTTTTGCCATTTTTCATAAATGGGCAAAAAACAGTCCATTTTCAGCCACTTTTTCCATTTTTCATAAATGGGCAAAAAAGAGCAAAAAAACTAAGCCTACTATATTATACCCTTTACTTTTCGTCCATTTTTAGCAACTGTTTCCCTTTTTCATAAATGGAAAAAAACAGCAAAAAAGTAAGCCTATACCCTTTACTTTTCGTCCATTTTTAGCGACTTTTTCCATTTTTCATAAAAGCAAAAAAAAAAACAGCAGAAAAGTAAGCCTATACCCTTTACTTTTCGTCCATTTTTAGCAACTTTTTCCATTTTTCATAAAAGCAAAAAAAAACCCAGCAAAAAAGTAAGCCCATACTCTTTACTTTTCGTCCATTTTTAGCAACTTTTTCCATTTTTCATAAAAGCAAAAAAAAAACAGCAGAAAAGTAAGCCTATACCCTTTACTTTTCGTCCATTTTTAGCAACTTTTCCCCTTTTTCATAAATAGCCAAAAAACAGCAAAAAATAAGGCTATAGCCTTTACTTTTCGTCCATTTTTAGCGACTTTTGCCATTTTTCATAAATGGGCAAAAAAGAGCAAAAAAGTAAGGCTATATATAGCCTTAACTTTTCGTCCATTTTTAGCGACTTTTGCCATTCCTCATAAATGGGAAAAAAAACAGCAAAAAAGTAAGGCTATAGCCTTAACTTTTCGTCCATTTTTAGCGACTTTTGCCATTTTTCATAAATGGGCAAAAAACAGTCCATTTTCAGCCACTTTTTCCATTTTTCATAAATGGGCAAAAAAGAGCAAAAAAACTAAGCCTACTATATTATACCCTTTACTTTTCGTCCATTTTTAGCAACTGTTTCCCTTTTTCATAAATGGAAAAAAACAGCAAAAAAGTAAGCCTATACCCTTTACTTTTCGTCCATTTTTAGCGACTTTTTCCATTTTTCATAAAAGCAAAAAAAAAAACAGCAGAAAAGTAAGCCTATACCCTTTACTTTTCGTCCATTTTTAGCAACTTTTTCCATTTTTCATAAAAGCAAAAAAAAACCCAGCAAAAAAGTAAGCCCATACTCTTTACTTTTCGTCCATTTTTAGCAACTTTTTCCATTTTTCATAAAAGCAAAAAAAAAACAGCAGAAAAGTAAGCCTATACCCTTTACTTTTCGTCCATTTTTAGCAACTTTTCCCCTTTTTCATAAATAGCCAAAAAACAGCAAAAAATAAGGCTATAGCCTTTACTTTTCGTCCATTTTTAGCGACTTTTGCCATTTTTCATAAATGGGCAAAAAAGAGCAAAAAAGTAAGGCTATAGCCTTAACTTTTCGTCCATTTTTTAGCGACTTTTGCCATTTTTCATAAATGGGCAAAAGAGAGCAAAAAAGTAAGGCTATAGCCTTAACTTTTCGTCCATTTTCAGCCACTTTTTCCATTTTTCATAAATGGGCAACAAAGAACAAAAAAGTAAGGGCTATAGCCTTAACTTTTCGTCCATTTTTAGCGACTTTTGCCATTTTTCATAAATGGGCAAAAAACAGTCCATTTTCAGCCACTTTTTCCATTTTTCATAAATGGGCAAAAAAGAGCAAAAAAACTAAGCCTACTATATTATACCCTTTACTTTTCGTCCATTTTTAGCAACTGTTTCCCTTTTTCATAAATGGAAAAAAAAAGCAAAAAAGTAAGCCTATACCCTTTACTTTTCGTCCATTTTTAGCGACTTTTTCCATTTTTCATAAAAGCAAAAAAAAAACCAGCAGAAAAGTAAGCCTATACCCTTTACTTTTCGTCCATTTTTAGCAACTTTTCCCCTTTTTCATAAATAGCCAAAAAAACAGCAAAAAAGTAAAGCTATAGCCTTTACTTTTCGTCCATTTTTAGCGACTTTTTCTCTTTTTCGTAAATGGCAAAAAAAAACAGCAAAAAAGTAACGCTATAGCCTTTACTTTTCGTCCATTTTTAGCAACTGTTTCCCTTTTTCATAAATGGCAAAAAAAAAGTAAAAAAGTAAGCCTATACCCTTTACTTTTCGTCCATTTTTAGCAACTTTTCCCCTTTTTCATAAATAGCCAAAAAACAGCAAAAAAGTAAGGCTATAGCCTTTACTTTTCGTCCATTTTTAGCGACTTTTTCTCTTTTTCGTAAATGGAAAAAAACCAGCAAAAAAGTAACGCTATAGCCTTTACTTTTCGTCCATTTTTAGCGACTTTTTCCATTTTTCATAAAAGCAAAAAAAAACAGCAGAAAAGTAAGCCTATACCCTTTACTTTTCGTCTATTTTTAGCAACTTTTTCCATTTTTCATAAAAGCAAAAAAAAACCAGCAGAAAAGTAAGCCTGTACCCTTTACTTTTCGTCCATTTTTAGCAACTTTTTCCATTTTTCATAAATGGCCGAAAAACAGCAAAAAAGTAAGCCTATAATACCCTTTACTTTTCGTCCATTTTTAGCAACTTTTTCCCTTTTTCATAAATGATATGTGTTAGTTAAAAATTATGAGTTCCTTAGAGGCTTTACATCCGTGGTTAAGTTCCGGTCTCTGGCGATGAATATATAGAGATTCTTTAAAAAGTAA